TGCCTTCAATGATTAACATGTTTAGTAGTAAATTAACAGCGAAGTGTTCCGTTTAACAATGGCGAGATATTCATATCGTGAGAAGGCAGATTTGATTTTTTTACATACAGCTACGAATGGTAATGTGCGTGGGGTTTTCTTTAAACGTAATAGCTCAAAAACAAAGGATTTGCGGAAATATGTTTATATGGACTTCTGTCCATGTTTCGGTGCGAGGAACTCGCCCCCAAAGTTTGTAAAAGTATTGTTAATACAACTATATATATATATATATATATATATATATATATATATATATATATATAGAGAGAGAGAGAGAGAGAGAGGGCCAAAACGTCTGCATATAGCAGAAACGACTAAAAAGTTAAGGTTAAATATTTTTTACACAACTAATTTACTAGATCACTTCGGGCAAGAGTAACATTCCTCGGAGGAATATATTCAATGATATTAATAATAACAACAACAATTATAAAAATAAATTAAATAAAAAGTAGAAATGGATTCATACCTTCCCCAATGATATTTGCTCGTATGTGATTATAATAAACAATATGTATTAAGACTACCGGCCTGGACACTCGAAAAAAAAACTTTGAAAGATGATGTACCGTACGGAATGATTCGAACCCGAGTCCTACTTTACAATAGAAACCGCCATCTGTGGTGGTGGTGGTGTTAACACGGTACCACTGGTCGAAGGACCTCCTCTATGCAGGTCAGCAGCCAGGGAGAAATGTTTCTTCAGATGAATTACAACGGCCACATGTTCGCAACCAAGGCGAATGTTATTTTACCACGGTATGGTACCTCTATTGTTTTATTTTTCCCTTTGTTAGTCCTGTTTTTAATTTAGTACCTTTTAGATTAGTCACCGTTTTGACCACTTTGTGTTTAGCCCTTAGTAATTACCGGAACCAAGTGCAAGAAAGCATGCGATCAAAGCACGCAATTCCTTCTGTCTTATCTTCCAAACTCTATCCCCAAAGGATAGCGTCGACGGTACGTAATTTCTTAACGTTTTTCTCTAAGCATGGGTCTCTTTTAACATATTATTATTTAAAGATTTGTTTGAGTGGCTCTCGAAGCTTGTCATGAACAAATTCTAGTGTAAAACATAATAAGACTACAATGGCGAAAATCGGAGACAGTTTTAATCAAATTAAATGAATGAATGCGCTATAGTAGACAGTAAATCAATTCATGTTGATTATAGGGATGCGTAGACGTTAGCCGGTCAGAGTATCCATGTTAAGCTTGATCCACTGACATAAACGCCGTCAGTAGACACACAGACATCGGAAATATGTCTAGTATCAATGGAAAAACAGTGTGTGAATCTTGTTTTTTTTTCTGTATAAAGTGGATCCGTTAATTTTGGGGAGAGACCTTACACTATCGGAAGACAAAAAGCAGATTGAGGCTATATGATAGATTAGGCAACTTTTGATTATTTTAAATAGTGGTTCCCATCATTCATGTGGAACTTCCGTCATATAACTTGCCGGAACTAAAGGAACGCGATTAACACCTTGGCTTCAGATCCCAGAGGAAACCTATAAAGGTCTTGTAAAGTTCATACCTGATCCAATAAGCTTATATAAGGACCAGCATTTTATTAGGCAGCTGTAAACATTTACTTTTGACTCATGAGTGTATATACATGAATATTTTAACGTAATTTATATAATATTACTTTTAGATCCTCCTTATCTCATATTGAAGAGCGCATTTTGACATCATCCGCATGATGTATTGAAATTCACCTTCCATCGTAAGCCTTTTGCTTGCGTTTTACGCATTTCTGTAAGTCGACAGTTGCCAAAGAAGTAACAGCAAGTACAGATAATTGATTTCTGCGAATTATACGATGTCAGTGATGAAAGATGCAGTTTTTATACCATAAATATTCATGTCTCTGTGAAAACAAGCTACTCATTTGTGATGGATGGATATGAACTGAATTTATATCCATGCAAACGCATTATGTCATCCAACATAGTTAAATGAATACGTACATGCGCGAAAGACAAAACAAAATAAAGGAAGCCATGCAAATAGATTATCATCATCACTTACGGATGCATAAAAGTTATGGCTATTTCCGAGTGTATGTATAAATATTTTATATGGTCTCCCCCACAAAAACAAAATGATAAAAGTACATTTGTTTCAGTGAAGTTGTTTCAGGGTTACTCTGAAAATCTTCGGGTGTTGACCTCGTAGAAAGAATGAAAAAGACATTACTTGGTTTCAGTGAGAAAACAAAAGAAAGAAAGAAAGAAAGAAGAAAGAACGCCTGTTTAAATGTTATGATTGTGAAATAAATTTTATCGTAAATTTTATCTCTCGTATAAAAGAGAAATAGATGTTAGATTATATAATATATATATATATATATATATATATATATATATATATATATATATATATATATATGAAGAAATGTAGTTTTAAGGTGTCCTATATTTATGGGATAAAGTGCTCAATATCAGAGATAGAGTGTGTAAATATAAATATAAAAGTGAACATTGAAGTCAACACTCAGAGGCAATAGGCTGTTTTGCTGGACGCAATCGTCAGGCCGCCTGACGATTGCGCCCAGCATGAATCAGCATTCGATTCTGGACATTTTCCGTTACCAAGTAAAAATATTTTGTCGTGTCGAAAGTTTGTGTGTGTGTGTGTGTGTGTGTGTGTGTGTGTGTGTGTGTGTGTGTGTGTGTGTGTCTGTCTGTCTGTCTTCGTGTGTGTGTCTGTGTGTGTGTGTGTGTGTGTGTGTGTGTGTATGTGTGTGAGTGTGTGTCGGGGATAAGGTAGGGGTTAGCAGCAAAAATAGAGATAAAACTTGGTCAATACAGATCCCTGTTTAGCAATGTTTTTATTCGGCTATTTTGCATGTGCATTAACCGATATCCTGAATCAATACTTTCCCATATATTGAAGCAATATATCGAAGCAATATATTGAAGCAATATATCGAAGCAATATATCGAAGCAATATATCGAAGCAATAGCGACAAACTGTAGTTTTGAATAGACAGATTTCATTTAAATATCTGGTAAAATTTATCAGTGTTTATATGATATCAAAAAAAAAAAAATTAAGAAAGCCGATCGCAATATATAGAAGACGTGCTTAAGATTCAAAAACTTAAATAACATCAATTAAAAGTTATTAAAAAGTTACATAACTATATCATTGACGAAAAATTAAACAATAATTTAATTAAAAGTGATCGGCAATTCGCTCAAAAGTAATAAAAAATACAACTTATATTACTGTAACAAGACGGTTCTAATAATAATTATGAAAAGGACATAACTGCTATTAACTGTACATTGGAATAAATCTGCTGTCAAATTTAATTTGTAATAAAATCTTTGAAAGATACATTGAATAAGATACACTATTTACATTATTCGAACTATTGTCCTCATTTTTGTTGCCACATTTATCACAACATTTCGGCCGTTGTACGCTCTGACCTTCTTCAGGTGGTTGTAATGTCGAACTGAACCCTTTATTTCGCTCACTGGGGTAGATTGTTCTAGTTCCACGTGCCATGTCTAATGGATGTCAGTTATCAGTTATCTCCTGTTAATTCCCCTCTCCAAGTTCTCCACCGCCTTAACCAGGTATTGAACTCATAACTCTTTGCACCATGTCACTGGATTAGACATGGCACGTGGAGCTAGAACAGTCTACCCCAGCGAGCGAAATAAAGGGTTTTCAGTTCGATATACCACCCACCTAAAGAAGGCCGGAGCGTACAACGGCCGAAATGTTGTGATGAATATGGCAACAAAGACGAGAACAATAGTCCTAATAATGTAAATAGTGTACATAATACATCATCTCAGAAATATAGCCAGATATTGAATAAGATATCCTTTAGTTTAAGAGATTGGTCTTTAATTATATTTAATAATCAAAATATAAATGAAATCTAATTGAAGAGCATTTTCAAAATCTATAATAAAAATCTGAATAATGTCGACATTGTAGCCAAGGGATTGCATTGGTTTCTTCAGTGTCGTCTTCTGATGCAAAATTCAGGCTATAAAATAACGTAGTTTCAGTTCGTCATCCGATCTCGTGAAAAATAACATGTTCTTGCTTCGTAGTAACCTTTGATTTTCATAAATTTAATGCAATATCCATTGTTATCTTGTCTTTTTAATTCTTATTCTTTTATTGTCATCTCTCCTTAATAGTAGATTTTTTCCTCATCTGCACTGACAATCAGTAACCTCTTGCATCTTAGTGGCTTTATTATCTTGCTTGGCGTGAAATGAATAAAAAAAATATTGTTGTTCCTGAGAATGACCAAAAATGGTCGAAAGATCTAGAACCGGTGTGAAAAAAAATAATAATGGGCAATTCTTGTATACTCTTAGCGAAAGAATTAATTCCGTTGTTTTCCATTTCTTTTCATTTTTATAAATTGTTCAGACAATGCAAAGCCTAAGAGCTACCCAAGGTAGAGGTTTGTTGAATAAATTTGTGAGGCATTACGAAGAGGAAGTCAGTGAAGATTATGCAGGAGAGATAACTGATGATGCCTAGACTTAAAGAGGTGAAGGTTTTAATGATCAGAGAAGTATAGTGTGTTCCAGATAATAACAGTGCTCGGAAAAACGCTGTCCGAGTGGAACCTCTTTTTGCTCACTGAATATGAAGGGAAGGAGGAGGATTCCAACCTGTGTACGTAGTATGGCGTCTGCTGGCTGTGAAGGTCTGAACTGGTGCAACTAAAACATATATCATGCCTGATCATTTTCCATGGAAATAACGATAGCGTAGCGATATGCTTCGGAAGGTGGCTTCAGGGCTGAAAACAACTCATCGCACCCAAGCCTGAGAAAAAGCATTTGAACTGTCAAGGTTGGAAAATAAGGACTGGACAATTCCTGATCAGATATGGCCGCAATACACCATTTTAGGTTTGATCTGGGTAAAAGCAAGAAAAACAATATAGGCAACAAAATATTCCGGCTTACGACTATATCACGATGAAACACGGGTTCCCATACGAACACAGAAGTTAAGCAACGTCGAGCCTGGTTAGTATCTAGATGGGTGATCGCTTGGGAATTCCACGAGCAGTAAGTTTAGGTGTACGGGTGGAGTGATGGATGACACGAAATTATTAATCGGAGAGACGATTTGGGAAAGATTTGAATCCGCCTCTTCCCTCCCCGTACAATGTAAACAATATATATTTCTGGCTTTAAATAACTTGCAAAGGGTTGATAACCTGTAAAAAAGTAATCAATCAGTCAACTAAATATTACTTGTCTGTCATATCCAAAAATATATAAACGCCAGATTCTATAATGTAAGTTAACTTTTTCACAATAAAATTGATATTGACCATCTAGTAAACTTTTCAGATATATATATATATATATATATATATATATATATAATGTAAATTTTCAAAAACACTGTAAAGAACAAATAACCACGACATTCTACACTTCCACACAGACAGGCGCATGGCCGTGAACAAACACATACACTATGAACAAAAAAATAAAAAAAAACCTACACCAATGAAAATTGCGTATAAAAAAGAAAAATCGAGAAGTTTAATCAGTCATTTGCTGATACCCCACTAACGAGTGGACGGAGTCATGCTTGGAGGGTCCGTCTATGATACTCTGGTGATGGGATGTTAAAGGTAACATCAGTCAGCTAAGTGACAACCTTTTTATTTGTGTATATATATATATATATATATATATATATATATATATATATATATTATTTGGTAGCTCTTACAGATAATTACAAAGAGGATATAGATACAGAGAGCGCTCAATGTAAGAACAAAACAAATGATAATTATGAAAGCGAAACTTTAGAAACCTATGATAATATTTTATTTCGCAAAAACCACTTTTCGATTTCGTCTTAGACTAAGTTGTTTAAAAAATAAATGGATTTAAAAGATTTTTCCCAGGTACAGCAAAAAAAGAAATATTTAAACATAAAATATGCTTTAAAATAATTGAATTTTTAAAATATTGAATCTTTATTTTAAATCATATTTTATGTTTAAATATCTCGTTTTTTGCCTGGGCCTGGAAATTTTTTAAAAATTCATTTATTGTTGAAACTGTTTGGTGTGATGAGACGAAACCGGAGAATCAGTTTTACGAAATAAGATATTACCATGGGTTTCTAAAGTCTCCGCTTTCATAATTATATATATATGTGTGTGTGTTTATATATATATATATATATATATATATATATATATATATATATATATGTGTGTGTGTGTGTGTGTGTGTGTGTGCGCGTGTGTGTGTGTGTGTGTGATAAAAGTATAAATTTATAGCATGCTATATTTATGGATAAATGTGTCTAATATAGACAGATAGTATCTAGATAAATATGTTGGCCTAAAGATTGCGTTGAAGAATGAAACAGATTGTCGCCGCCTAGTCTTGACCCTGATTTGACTTTTCTTTCTTACTCTCTCTCTCTCTCTATATATATATATATATATATATATATATATATATATATATATATATATATGATAAAATATAGCCATGAGGTATGCTATATTTACGGGGTAAAAGTGCTCAATATCCAAAATATAATATATGTAAATATAAGCATAGCGTACACGGAATACCAATTGTCAGTTTCATGCGTGACATTATCTTCATGTAAAATTAACTATCGCCATTCAGTGTTGAACTCTCTCTCTCTCTATATATATATATATATATATATATATATGCACAGGAATTGTGTTTCTGACTTTAGTGTGGACCGTTTTTCTATTTTATCAGGGTCCCACTATTCATATCATCTCAAGTTTCTGGAGTCCTTATATCAAATTCCGCAAGTCTTCCCTCTGTAAACAGAGAGATTGTTTGCTGGGCCTGAATATTATTGGGCTCTAGTTTCCCTTGAAATTTTTTTTCTCCTTTTATTAGTCATTTTTAATTTAATTTACACGTTTATTCCCAGGAATAAACTTGATAAGACTGGGACGAAACCGGTTGTTTTATTAGGTATTAAAATTTACATTAAAATGCCTTGTAAATTACACTTATTCTTTGTTATTATTAAAGTAGGAGGTAAATATTATTAGGATAAGGAGGACAGATAACGAATGAAAACGCGCGTGCACACACACACACACACACACACACACACACACACACACACAAATATATATGGGAGGTGTGTGTGTTTTTCTTAACTTCTCATGTATTTCCGAAGAGAAAGATACTAAATATGTCCACTCCTCTTGTACCTCTCACTTCATGGCACTGCTTTCCATCTCTTAAACGAAGCACACAAAAAAAAAGAAGGAAAAAATGCGTCAAAATGGTGTAGTAATAGCGTAGGCTGAGGTGTGAATCAACTTCTCGGCAACGAATGCAATCTACCAACAGCTCTCGGGGGTTCACGTTTACAAAACCTCGCCATCACGAGACAAGAAAGAAACCTCTCCAACGAACCGCCATGACGGAAATCTAATTGTCAACCTGCGCGACGCCTAGATTCCTTACCAAGCTTTTCCATATCGTCCCTAATTATATAATGTCTTTCTGAAACCGGGTTGGCAGTAGAAGACCAATTACTACCGATGCCACAGACTACTTTCTTTTTGTTATTATGGCGGCTCGTTTTCATTCCTCTCTCACACCTACCTCCCGTTCCTTCTATAACCAGTTCTATCCGCCGTCGGGCTGATGACAACAACTTATGTTTGTGTAAGGGACACAGCAGCAAGTTGTACTTCGTACATCATATTAGGTAAAAATACAACAAAACACGAAACGGTGGTGTTAAGGGTCGGGAGAGGAAAGCGACGTAGTTTTTATGTCGGAGAGATGAAGATATACATTGGTAGGAGTGGCTTCAAAATCGCTAAGTGATTAGTTTTGTGTGAGTTTTGCACAAGCGGAACACAAGTTTTTCGGCAACAGAGAAAAGTTTTCTGCTGTGTGACGCATTAGCGGAAATTGTCGTTTCCCATGGGTGAGTGGAGAGTGGGGAGTGGAAACGCGAAACGCATACATACGCACACATCTTTAGATACAAAGAAATGAATTATTACGAAATTCTTGTCGAAATTCATGTAAGTAAAGACATCGTAAATATGCGAGCGGTTAGGTCAGTGTTACTCAACCTTTTTAAGCAACGACACACACAGGAGCAAATGAAAATACCACAGCAAAATAAGCAATTTTTTTAAAGGCTATACATTTACATGTTACGAAATAAAACCATAGATTTTAAAAAAATACACACACAAATATGAATTTTATTTCAACATTTCTGTTGAACTATTTGTGCAGCTTATATATGTGTGAAACCTTGTGCCTGTTTTTTTTTTTTCGCAATTTATTCAATGTTAGGGCGAATGTGCGAAAAGCAGACCCTTATTTCTTCTTCTACAGTCGAGGTTAGTCTTTCTTGCTTCTTATTTTTGATGTTATTTAGAGTTGAGAAGCCTAATTCGCATGAATAAAAAGTAGGAATTTGCAATATAACTGATAAAGCCTTTTTAGCTAATGTGGGATATTCCTTTTGTTTTAAAATTCAAAATGTATCAATGTATCGTCGAATGTTTTATTTTGATCCCTCGATCACTAAAAATGGCGACCAAATCTTCGTCATCACATAACTGAAGTTGAATATTAGAAGGAACATTTATGAATTGATTTCGAATCAAATCATACTTTCGCAGCACTTAAGAGGATTGCGCGGCACACTAGTGTGCCGTGGCACGGCGGTTGAGAATCATTGGGTTACGTATTGATATCTATGTGAAGATGATTTCATGAAGCTTATTTAATTCTCTACATATGGTAAATTTTTGATGAATCTAATCTTTCTTGAGGTTTACAGATCTTTACTCTAAATCTAATTTCAAGAAGGAATTCTTTATCTCTCCAAAAAGCATTGCGCATTAAAGCACTATAAAAACACAAAAGTAGTTATGAAGGCGTTCAAAGATCTATTATACAGCGGTATCTAAATAGGATCTATTATACAGAGGTATAAATATAAATAAATATGATCTATTATACAGAGGTATCTAAATAGGATCTATTATACACCAGTATCTAAACAGGATCTATTATACAGAGGTATCTAAATAGGATCTATTATGTAGCGTGATCTAAATAGGATCTGTTATACAGCAGTATCTAAATATGATCTATTATACAGAGGTATCTAAATAGGATCTATAAAGCAGAGGTATTTGAATAGGATTTTTTATACACTGGTATCTAAATAGGATCTATTATACAGAGTTATCTAAATACGATCTATTATACGGAGGTATCTAAATATGATCTATTATACAGAGGTATCTAAATAGGATCTATTATACAGAGGTATCTAAATAGGGTCTATTATATAGTTGGATCTAAATAGGATCTGTTATACAGCGGTATCTAAATATGATCTATTATACAGAGGTATGTAAATAGGATCTATTATACAGAGGTATCTAAGTAGGATCTATTATTGTCAAAGTACGAATGAACGTTATATTAACTCGACTGATAGTTCTAAGAAAGTTAGCTCCTCAGAAACCAGTTGGTCTTTCCCTTTGGCAAACCGAGTAATGATAAATATGTCATCAAACAAAGAAATTGCATATCCCTCCAATAAAAATCTCATACCTTCTATGTTGACCTTACAGAAGCATTCGATAGCACCAGTAGAAACTTCCTCTTTTCATTCATCGTCCAAGCTTGGATTCCACTGAATCGCAAGTACAAGAAGAAAATGAGAGCCCCGATCTCTTTCATCTGTTCATAAACTATGCTCTGCGCATATACAAGCATAGATATAAAGAGATGGGCACTGATCATTTAACCTTCCATACCACATTTCAAACGAATGGACTCAGTTTAATCCATTGTTAGTTCACAAAAAAGTTGGTTCACTGTGTCGTGCGAGACAATTTTTCTCTCCAGAATCTATCTTACATATCTATAAGTCTACCATTCGTCCATACTTAGAATATTGCTGTCACCTATGGTCCTGTGTCCCTGATATTTATTTTAAGCTACTTGATAAAATCTAGAGAAAAATCAGCAAAATTATTGGTCCTGATCTGAGCTCAGTTTCAGTCATTTTCCACCGCCGTAAGTTTGCCTCTCTGGTCTTTTTCTATAGATACTTTCATAGTAATTGTTCGGATGAGCTGTTCGCTATGGTATCTAGGCATTTTTTTTTTTTAATTTAAGCACGATACTTGACTGATGTCGAGATCTCATCAGTTTACACTTGAGCTGGTTAGATGAACGGATAAATTCTATGCCAACATTTTCTTTTCGTGGACTTCTTGCTTGTGAAGATATCTTCCGGCTCCATGATTTTTAACCAACTTTAATCTGCAAAAAGTTAAATGCAACGTCAATCCCTATCTACTGACCCCCTGAATATTCTTTTCTCTTCCCGCTCATTATTAATGTTTCTGTTTCTAATTCTTCCACACCCAGTAACCGTTTGTGTCTTAGTGGCTTTTTTTACTTTCCTTGGGCTTAAACTGATTAAAAAAAAAAAAAAACAAAAAAAAAAACACCACTCTTAAATAAAATTAAAAAAAAATAAAATTCATAATTCATAATAAATACTTATCTTTTATGTTCATATCGTAATACCGGTAATTTTACTTGCTAGATTTCATGTCATGAGAAATATAATTATTTTTTTAAAATAGTTTTCGAAAAAAGTTGATATCAATATAGAAAGGGCTTAATTTCGCCAGCAATACGATAAATTGATATATGAAGGTACTACTATTAAGTACAGAATTCCCATTATTTATGACAATAATAAGAAGATAAGATCTACAAAGATCAGTTGGTTTACGTTCCGTTTCAACCGAATGGTTAAAACTAAATTAGGGCAAAAATTCGTAAACCTTATTAATAAGCATTTTCCCAAAACTAATCCGCTTAGTAAAATATTAAATAATAATACACATAAATAAAGTTATTGTTGTGCGGACAACCTTTAGAAAATAATTTAAAAACACGATATTAGAGTTGGCTTGTTTATTTATTTATTTGGGTTAATTTATTTTACTTGTTTTTTTGTTTACATTTTTTTATTTTTTATTTACGGTTTTCGATGTTTTATTAACATAGCAAAAATTGCTTAGTCGATTATTTAATAGTTTCTTTTGGTCTGGGAAGATAATTAAAGCTATTTATTCGTCCAGTTATTGGATTGAATGCCATAGTCTATTCTGTTATTTTGGCAGGGGACAGTCTTAATTTGTTTATTGTTTTATTTATTTATTTATTTCGATTCATTATTTGTTTTTGCTTATTTATGTTTGCTTTTTATTAGTTCCACCTGTTATTATAGCGGGAGCGATTTGTTAATTTGTAAATTTGTTTATTTATTTGGATTAATTTTTACTTGTTTTCTCTTATTTATTTACTTATTTTTTATTTTGTATATTTAAAAAAATGTAATATAATTATATTTTATATTTTTATAAAAAAATATAGAAAATAAAATAAATCAATAAATAAACAAGCCTTCTCGTCAAAATACCCGCCAGAATAGATTATCCACAATGCACCACTGACCCATATATATATAAATAGTCGAGAAAAATCTAACACTCGCGGCCCGACGATTGCGTTTAGCATGAAACAGCCTGTCATCTCTGAGTGTTGACTTCAGTGTTAATATTTATATTTACATAAGCTCTATTTCTGGTATTGAGCACTTTATCCCATAAATATAGCACCCCTTAAAACTATATTTCTTTATATATATATATATATATATATATATATATATATATGTGTGTGTGTGTGTGTGTGTGTGTGAATAATAATATAAGCTTTCCTATTCAGATTTGCATGCTTATCTTGTTTGTCATACCCACAACATTTCGGTCATTATGTCTTACTGCATTTGTCAAGAAATTCTATATTCATGTCCATACTTGATAAAAGCGTTGGTTATAATATTTCGAGTTTACTGGAAATTACGAGTTAAATTCCTTGCTCTGGAGGTGCTAAACAACCATATAAATTGATTCAGTCGAGGAAACAGTTAAATGACACAAAGATAAGAATAAAAAGCGGAATGTGAACAATCTACCTGAATTGGGATAAGAATGTCGGATGGCATAACGGTCGAAACATTGTGGGTTTAATAACCAAGTTGAACATGCCGGTCCGAATAGTAAAGCAAATAATTATAATAATTCCTCATGTAAAAAAATCCTGGTTAATCATCATTTTATACATATGTAAGCGATATTCTATCAGTAGATGTTTCTTCCTATTTCCAGATCATTGACAATCATCACAATGTAAGTTCAGTTATACAATCCATATAACAGCCGTCTTCTATCAGAAAGGCTTCCTTTAATATTTCTGCATCGACAATCAGATTTACCTGATTTGCAGTGCAAAACATCGAATTTGAAACTCAAAATATACTAAAATAAAGGTCAGTTATATCCGACAAATTTGGT